TTAACAAATTATCAAACTCTTCATAACAACCTGTTGCATAGTTGCTTCTATATTTATTAGGTTACGTAGAGCTGATTGTCTGTTTACAGCTGCACTGTATTGTGCTCGAAACGTTGGTGGCAGTCGTATAGCCTTGTTATCGTGCCGTATAGGCTGACAGGTTTGATGATGTTCTTGCGGTGCGGTCGTCGGATATGCGGGGGTACTGAATTTACCGCCACATATGCATTCGAATAAATTTTCCGATTAATATAGTGTGCTTGCATCGTAGGTATCGTCGTCTCCCCGGTGTACGTTGGGCGGAGCATTTGCGGACATTTGAACACGTTGGCGATTTGTTAAACCTCTACTGCTAAGCATGGTTCTTTGTACTCTCTAAACTGCCACGTATATATGAGGTTGTCATACGTGGCAGAGTTGGTAGCGAGAGATCACAAAAAACAATATCTTGCAGTAGAGGGTTGACAAGTTCACCAACATGTTCAGATGTCTGCAAAGCTCCGCCCAACGTACACCGGGGAGACGACGATAAAACATGGTAAAGTTTGCGCATGAGCAAGCCAGTAATGCCGGCATGTTGCGCGCGCAAATGGGCGGCGTCTCACACTTAGCTATTTGTTCACGCGCAGATTTTACCTCGTCTCTTACCTGCAGTGCAAGCACACTATATTAAGCGGAAAATCTACTCGACTGTAGCTTGAAGATATTGTTTACTAAACAAAATGCATCTTCGTCTGTTTTGCAGTCTCATTCACATCCTCAACCGGAAATCGCTATCTTACACGTTTCTTTTTGCCTTGCCGTGCTTTGATAAAAGCGGGTATATTCGTGATTCTCGACCAGTGATGTCCAATTAGCTAAGGTGCACGCTTTCAATTGCCATTTCTAAGATTCGAAAAACACGAAACTTGTTTGGAACGCTGAGTACTCTGCAAGTTTTCTGCAAAATTGGTTATATTGGGTTTTCGATTAGTAATTTATCCTAAATACCACAAAGAAAAACCTGAGTGGTTAGCTTGCACCTTTCCTCTCTTCACTTGTACTTTATGAGTCATCGTTAAAATGTCATAATATTAATGGTTTTGAATCATATTTTACTGGTACCCATTCACTTTGAAAGGAATGTCATTCAATCACTGATAAATCTGAACGCCTGCGAACGAGCTGTATTTAATATGTGTCAACGTTCGAGGTGATGATTAATTTTTGTTTATCTATTTCGTAACCAATTTCCCAGCCAGCGCATCCTGGTAGGTTGCGAAATTTCGGAACTATAAGCTGAACTGTCATCGATCTCTATGAAGGCGACTTGTTCCGCATTTTCCACATGCACTTTCTGCATAGCGAACATTTCAATGCGTGCATGGAATTTGTCCGTTTTTCGTTAGATTTTTGAAAAAGCCGCTGGCTTATGCAAATTTAGCTGTTATAGTCTATTTCACAACTTGCGATACAGCATCACAAGCAATTCTACCTCGAATAGACTTCAAACGTTACATCAAATCTCGACTTGTGCGGTGCAATTGCACTTCCATTTTATCGCATTTGGCCCTAATTTTCGATAAAATCTTTAAACAATGGCTCTTTAATCTGTCTAGTTCTGTCTAGCTCCATGCTCAGTCATATTTGAGATCACATGTTTAGATAATACTAGAGAATGTGACTTATAGGGTTTCTGTGAATGTCTCAGCTTCAGTGGAGGTATACATATCCAAAGCTTTTTTGTATGGACTCATAGGAAACGTATTCTGTTCTGTTTTTACACAGAGTATAGTCTCAGGCTGCGGAAATTTATAGTAGTCTTCACCGATCAAGAATCTTTGGTCATTTGTAGCATAGGCGTGAAAGCTGATAATAAAATCGTATCGGCGGAGGCGGTTATCGCGGTCAGTTTAGTGTAGATATATTGATAAGGTGCGATGCAGCTTGATGCTTCATATACAGAGTGTCCCAAAAAGATGTGCACACTGTTTGATCGTTAATAACTCCCTTGCTTTCATGTCTTTTGCCGAGCTTGAGGTACCATTCTGTAGAGCGAGGATAAACTTAGACTTACAGTATGGAGCGATTCATCAATCACTCTTCATTACTGTAGGATCACGGTATGAACTTTCAGCATACGGCGTCATTGTAGAATAAGCCTTGTAATGAAATAATTTCAAAAAAATCTAAAAATTTGTGTAGCAAGGTTTTCAGGCGTGCTGATTTCACTACATAACTTTCCACCAATTTTTCGAGCTTTCTTGTTGGCGTATTCACATTCCTGCCAACACTGGAAAATCAGTTATTACCCTAAATCTGAAATAACTCACGAAAGAAGCAATGTGCTGATGTGAACTTTTCATATTTAGAATCAGCAACTTCGATTAACCCAGTTTAAGAGTTTCTGGCTTGTTTGGCTTTCTTCTTGAAGCAAAATACCGCCTTCAATGGCTCAAAATCCTCCTCGAAATTCCTACCGTAATCCTACAGTAATAAAGAGCGATCGACGATCCGCTCCATACTGTAGATCTAAGTTAATCCTCGCTCTAAAGAATGGTACCTCAAGCCCGGCAAAAGACATGAAAGCAAGAGAGTTATTAACAATCAAACAGTGTGCACATCTTTTTGGGACACCTTGTATATATCAGAATTACGCTAAAGTTCGCCTACTATCTATGCCGGCGACATTTGCGCGTAAGATATGGCCATAGGGTACAAAACTTGGAGGTGCGATCCACTGCCATTTTTTTCGCGCTAATGTTGTTGGCAACGCAGCGGCACTATGCTAACGTCAGAACCACTAGACTCCACACTTCCTGGAGAACTTTGACATTCTGGTATGAGTAGAGACGTATAAGATGTCTATTTCTACATGACTACCATTTTTACCCTATAATTTCGACCATTTATGGGAAACTATATGCTAATGGCCTTGTAACTTGTTATAATGCTTTTGAGGCACATTATATGCTGAAGAAGGAGCGGACGCAACTATGTGCCATTCTAGCCCTGGCGCTACTCTGGTTTTCCGCGTCCAACTCTGGAGGACTGGTTCAACCCTGCTGCTTCGATTGGGACGAACAAGCTTGTTCGCTGCAATTGGAGCAGTTTGCTCCATTGTTTGTCCGTTTCGTTAGGGTCAAGGCGGATTCTAGCTCCCCCCCCCCGTACCGTATCGATCGATCTGTCTGTAATGTGTGTGTGGTGGTGGTGGTGGTGTGGCGTCTAGTCGTCGGGCACCCTCTACGATCAGCCGTCGTGCGACTCGCTTTGGCTGGACGTTCGTCGGCGCCGTGGCGCTGCGGCCGCCCTCGACATTGCCGAAAACACAGCGTCAGCCGTCAGCTTCACCTCCGAATTCCTTTCTCTCTGAATCATCCGTCGATGACGCTTCGATAGCTCCATATATGTCTCATTCGACGACCCGAACACTGTTCTGTTTTTGTCGAGTCAGCATGATGTTATCTCAAAGCGAGCCACATTTATTTTCCTCCTCCATCCACAGTTCGTTTTTTTTTGCAACAAGTCAACTTCCATTAATTATTCAATTTCACTTTTCTTTTTCTTTTTTCATTTTTGCTTTTTTCTCTTGCGTTCTTTTCTGAGATGATCGTTGTAGTCCACTTATGGACTCAAAGTAATGACATTGCTGCCAAGCTACGGCAACCGGTTTCCGCAGTTTTTAGTTAGTGCGGCATGCTATGCATGCACGCTTTGGAGTGTCTTTACCCTGACATTACTCTTATAATCCTTACTTTCGTGGTATCGGGAACGGCGTTATACTCTCGATCATGTATAGATTTTATGCACACGAGTTTACTCTATTGAACTTTAGAAATACAAAAAATAGATTCAAATATCTTAGATGCATATATTTACAAGAGACCGTATGCTCCTTAATCTCTCATTCAGCTAGCTTTTTTGGCGTAAAGGTTGGCTGTTATACTTTTTTTTACGTCAAAAACAGTTTCATAGGAGTAATCGTAAGCTCTTTTCCTCTTTTTTTTTCTTTTCATTGATATCGCCATATGTGAATTTCTTGTACTGGACTTGTAGATTTCAAGAGCGCTAGCTTACTGTTGCTTCTTCATTATGGAGACTACAGTGTTTTTGTGGTCTCTCACTGCGTTGAAAACGAAAACTATAAAATATCGTCGCATTATTGCCTTCTCGGCACCATCCGGTGAAATTCATCATCTTGACATTTTCTTCAAAATATCGTGATGCATTCGACGATGCTCATGTCTGGTGGCTGCCTTCATTGTACAGTCTGATTTCGTTGTATGTAGAATACATGGTTGCAAAATTGAAATAAGCACCTCTGAGAATTTTCTACACCTTTCGCATGTAACACCACTATTTTTTGGATGGACATGGATTGGTGATTGGTGGTCTTGTCTTCACTTCTTGTTTTAGCTTCTACCAGGCAGCTGTCGTATCTTAATAGTTTTCGGGTATTTTCTATTCCTGAATCTTCTTTGTACCACTAACAGTATCGGCGTAAATGAAAAGGTTCGGTTCGGTATTTCATTGCAAGCGTATCGATTTTCGTTAGAAACGAAATTAGAAATTTTAAACTGTTTTTTGTGGGAATACAGCAGTTTTTTTTTTTCAGGTATTTCGCTATTATTTTGATATCCCATTTTGAGTCTCCTATAGTATATCTTGTAACTTTCCTGTTTATCTTCGATCCTCAGTATGAAACCTTTTTGACTTTGTCACTCTGACCTTCTTTGAAGTACTTTCAATCAGTGGTAGTTGGCTTAATGCTAATTACTTGCTTATTAAAGCACGTGATTGTGTTTTGTAGAATATCATTCAAAGGATATAGAAATTCTGTAAATGTAAGCTTGGAAAAACTTATGAAGTATAATTACTCATGGATTTTTTTCGAACTATAGTCCGTATGTCATCAGATTGATGTAGCAAGAGAAGTTAATCATCTAAATCTTGCAAAGCTTTGATTTTCATGCTATTTTTCGATCGATACGAATAGTGGACAGTTTTTAGACAAATAATAACAATAAATGGCCCATTTAAGGAGAATTTGCATTCATGTTGTTAAAAATCGTTTTTTTTTTTGTATTCCAGTCCTATGTGAAGTTTATGAAAGCATTTTTATTACCTCACTCTTTTTTTCGCTTTAGCAATGGCGTCTTGTAGCTTTGATATACTTTTCATACCGTAGTCTCCAAAGAGTCATATCGTACTATTCGCTTCGTTTGCTATTGCCATCGCTTCCATTTCTCATCGCCTCGTTACATTAACATTTTCCAGAATTGACTGACTCATATCGTGCCATATTAGAATTTCGATGGCGGACGACTATCAAGTGCAATCAAATGGAGGAGATGCAATTAGAAAACCGCTTTTGGAGTTATACGTGAAGGTGAGTCAGTGTGCGTAGTAATTAGATGCATTCGTGTCCTTCGATTGCAATGAGACTTATAAAATGCGTGATGTGACATTCTGAGCGTCGTTATGATTGTAAAAGTTGGAATTGGCCTTTGTATGTGAGGTGTTATACGACTTTGTATCGAGATCGAGATGAGTTTGTGATGCAATGGCCAAAATGGGTGCGCCTCGGTTGGGACAGCAGGGTACTTACGGATCGGACGCACTTTTTATCAATGTAAATAATAGCGTGGCTAGTCATTGCAGAAGTTTGATTCACGCACAGCTCAAACATTCCTCCGATACAAAAAGTGCACACGGCTTATAGGGAGTTTTTGCAATTGTTGGTCTCAAGCTTATCATTTATCGACGATTACGGTAAACTCCGTCATCTAAGTCATTCGAGGATTGCTTTGAAAAACTTCGATGGCGGTAAAAGTAATAAACACTCCTGTCTAGTGGTATTTATTTACGGTTTGGATGAATTAGCAAATAATTTATTACAAACCGGTTATAGCGTTTGTTTTTTCCTCTAGGGATTTGTATCAGTTGTGTATTGTTATTCAAGTAAGGCCGGTCCAAGGATTTTTGTAAAACAATTTGCGTCGAAAAGTTGAGAAAGGTTTCTGCAATAAGAACAAGAGCAGGTAGCTTTTCTTCTCATTTATTCTATCCTTTGAATTCTTGTTTTTTTTTTTGGTCTGATCATCAGTATTTGGAGTAAAATACATGAATTCACTTTTCGGTCTTGTTCGAGAGCACTTGTAGTTTTCTTTTTGCCTCTACGTTCTAATCCAATTTCCTTTTTCCTTTCTCCCTCTATTCTCTTTGATGTCCTAACTTCAAAGGATATTTTTTCGTTCTTAGTGTTCCTTTATCTCTCTAAGCACTTGCTTTGCCATATTTCTTCGCTTATCACATGGGTCATGGTTAATACCCATTCAAACCGTGATAAGCTATCACGCTATGAATTTCTGGATGGAGCGTGCTAGAGGTTGGTAGGACTGGCTTAAAGGCAGCGGTCAGGCAAAATGGACCCCTGTCAGATTTTGGTAGTTTCGGGTAGTGGACCCCCCAAGTACACCGTAGCCCCAACCCCACATTCCAATTCATGCGCTAAGTCCCGAAAAAAGCGCTTCAAAACTCCACCAGCCCCGCCCACTTCCATTGAGTGGGCGTTATTGGTGGGAGTTTGAAGCGCTTTTTTCAGGACTTAGCGCATCAACTGGAAGTTGGGGTTGGGGCTACGGTGTAATTGGGGGGTCCACTACCCGAAACTACCAAAATCTGACAGGGGTCCATTTGCCTGTCTACTGCCTTTAAGCGAAATGCAAATGTGCTCACATAAGTTTCTGCAAATTTGCTGATTTCTCCATCGCCGTAACGCAAGTCTGACAAATAAACGTATTACCGGGTTTGAAGTGAAATCGATGTGTAAACAAGAGTTTACTACATTTTGGAAAATCTCTTTCACTTTTTTGGCTAAAAAACCTCATTATTTCAATTTCAAACTGCTATATTTGTTCGCATTCTGAAAAAAAAATGAGCGAATAGTTAATGTATCAGCCGATCATTTTGCTTGCTTTGTTTTGCAATGTATCTGGGGTGCGAATAGAATGGAGCTGGGTGTTGAGGAGACACGCGAAAAGGTGGAGTGGAACATGTTTAAGAGTTTTGATCATGTATTCGAAACTTTGTGTGATCTGCTATGTTGGCAAAGTGGCAATAATTTCCACCGAGTCCTCTTGTACTTTCACCCTAAGATTTTTGCCTCAGGCTTCCGGCATCGACAGTCGAAGGATTGGTGCATGTCTATTCTGCCAGGAATTCTGGATGGAGCTGTATGCATTGTACGAAATTGGCGTGGCTAGGGTTGAGGTAAACAAGAACCGCAGCTACCATCAAATTACTAGTACATATTACTTCATGTCTAGGTAAAAACAGTGAATGTCAACTCTGAGGCTTTCAAGAAGAATTTCCTTGGTGCACAGCCGCCCATTATGATTGAGGAGGAAAAGTAAGCCATTTACCCTCACATTCATGGAGAAGCAGCTAATGACTGTTTTCAGAGGTGCCACATACACAGACAATCGTGAAATTGAAGGACGAATCTTTCATTTGGCCAAAGAGTTCCAAGTACCTCTATTTGAAAAAGATCCAGTCGTCGAAAAACGAATAGAGAGCTTGTACAGGGTAGGCTTCCTTTGTAAAGCTGTTTTTATTGTTGTTTTGAAGTCCTTATGAAACTTGTTCAGAATTTCAAACTTTTCCTTCGTGCCAAAGCTGACTATGACAAAGAAAGGCGAGAGATATCGAGTATTGAGTCACTCCCTCCACAAATCAAAACGCATTGTAATCGTGTGGTAGAACAGCTAGGAGGAATCGATCAGGTTGATCCTTTTGATCCTAAAATTTCTTGTAGTCAATGATCTCCCCTTTTCTTTCAGTTACTAGCAGATCGAGGAACTCGTTATCTTCTGGGCAAATCCATGACTGAATATGATTGTGAATTGATGCCCAGATTACATCATATGCGCATTATTGGACAAAGAATGCTCAAGTAAGGCATTTTTTTTGATAATTCTGGATTTTTCTTAATTTTGTGCATGTTTTCTTGTTTACTGCAGTTTTGACTTCCCTCACTTTCTAACCCATCTGTGGAACTACGTACTGACAGCCTATCGAACAGCTGCGTTTATTGAGAGTTGTCCAGCCGATCAGGACATTTTGCACCATTACAAGGTGAGATCTGTTTACTAGTTGTGGTGTCATATTGATCTGCGAAATACAGATCTTTTCCTTTGCAAAGTTTTCACGATCAGATTTGCGGTGTTTGATCTAACATGAGTGAGAAGCACTGTTGAACTACGTTATGAAATACCAGATCCGCGATTTTTTTTTATCGGGACCACTTCATGAAATACCAGATTTTTTTACTCTTGGTGTCCTAAATAATATTGATGTGTGCGGCCATCGCGACTTTCCAAAGTAGCTAGCTAGTATCTTTTTACGCCATCTTGCAGTGATTTAGCCGAATTGCACTGTTTACTGTTGATTTGTCGACCGCAAGGAGACTGGTCGTAGATTGCGTAGCACGTGCGGCGCGGCTGATGTGAGCATGGCTTGTACAATGGCGATCTGTAGTGGTCAAGGGTGTGGCTGCGCGGCACTACGCAATATACGGCTGAAATTATATACTTTTCACATCCCCATGTGCCACTAACATTTATCTTCTGGCCCTAGGCTGTCTATCTATCAGTTTGCAGTGCTTCCTCTCTTCTGTTTGCCGGGAGCAAATCCTTTCGAAACAATGCTTACTCATTGGTACCTAATACAGTACATCAAAACCAAACTTATGGAGAGGTAGTCTCTGATAACTAATCTCAGCTGTTAATCTCTGTCTCCATATGTCAGCGTACACAATAGAAAGCCTCGGTTGTTCTATCTAGTTTGCATAGTATATGCATTAATTAAGTTCGGCAAGTGCGTTGAGCTCATGATTCAGTAATTGCTTTAAAGGTGTCGTGACGAGCCAAGTGCTTTTAGCTGGGTAGAGATCATTGTTTACTGTTGAACAAGAGTCTATCTCTTGTACAAACAAGCTGCTAAGATGCTGAAACGTGACCTTATCTCCGTAATGTTCTCTTCTAATTTCATCCTTTAGGAGCAACTGAACATGGTCACGAATCAACGCGAGACGTTGCAGTCACCGACGAAGACGCACACAATTCCAGAGGAAGTGTTGCACAACATAAGGAAAATGGGTTTGGATCAGAACTGACAGTTGCCTGAACGATACTCAGGCGCGAATGGATGATTGTTGATTCGCATGAGAAACCCCTGCATTGCGCGCTAACACTGGCAGTTCCTCACTCATGTTTGTGAATATATTTATCGCGGTGGAATGTGTATTGCTTTGTCGCCGCTCCCCGTATGGATCGTTTTATCAATGTTTGTACCCTCAAGGTCTATTATCAGCATATTTTCTGTTCTAAAGAACGTAAATCTATGCGTGTGTATCTTGGTAGACGAGAAGTCATACGTTAGGGTTTCCTTCTCTTTGCGATGGTCGTTGCTGCCATGATTTCTGTTCTAATTCCTTAAAGTAACCTATCTTTGCACAGAGTTTTGCTCAGTAGATGATGCAAATATGCGGCTATTAGTCACTTCTATTTACTCCTTTGCAAGTACTCATTTCTCCTTGCATGTGTTTACCAATTTTTTTCTCTTTTTCTTATCACTTGTATCCAGCTGTTCGCAGTCGAACTCTTTGTGTTATGTCGATTATGAAGAGCCGCATTGACTTGCCTTGCCTTGTATGTTCCATATCCTAGACAGATTTATTTATAAATTTGCGTCATTGGTCATAAAAGATTGGTTTTCCTTTTTTCAAGGCATTTCATAATCCTTGAAGGTATGAGTATTGTTCAAAGGCCCGTCTACTCAAAAGCAGTGTCCCGGTTAAATATCGCTTCCCGGTTTTTACCTCTTCGGAGCCTTCTCGCTATATTGAAGCCAAATCTGAGCTTTTCAGCGCTTGAAAATGGTAAAAAAAGCTTTTTTGGAAGCTCTCCATGTCGGTGTTTGCTCCAAACTACATATAAGAAGGGGCGGGGTCTGGAAAACTTCCGGAGCGGAGTTTTGGCTTTCCAGAAGCGCTTTTTCGCTCCAGACTTCACCGATAGACTCTGGAGGGGTCTATTGGAACACTGTAGGATCCCGGTGCCCATCAATTTGTGGGATTTGTGGGACGCTGCCTTTAAAGTGGGAGTTGACGAGATTATAATGGCATACTGGTGTGTGCCCCCACACTAGGCAAACCCCCAGATGCACTGCAACAGATTGCTCCGAGCGAGATGCCGCCCCGCAAGGAACGTATTCTGAGGTGGTCGCTCCACCCAGTTGGTCGCCCCGTCCACTTTGTGGGTTTCCCGCGCTTGTTGCAGCGGGTTCTCGCGAGGTTTTTGATGGTTTCGCGGATTCTCGACTCCATATTTGACCTACAAAAACTTGAGACTGAACGGTTCTTTGACTGACTAAAGGGCCGGGCATACTCCACGCGATTTCCGTCGCGACGCGATTTGGCAATGTTCCAACTGTCCATAACTCATTGTAAGCGCATTCCAAATGCACATAAGATAGGACATTTGATTAATCCAGATTAATTACACACACTATGCATGTGCGATCAATTACACACACTATGCATGTGCAGTCTGCTATTGTTAAATTTGAACACTTCTGGAGAGTTGCCAAATCGCGTCGCGACTGAAATCGCGTGAAGTATGCCCGATCCTTAATACGGCTAGTTGAGCTTACAGAATGAGAAAATTTAGGGCTTTATTAGCTCGTTTTGAAGGCAGTGGCTCGGCAATAAACATCCTAAGTTTGATATAGTAGGTAGCATAACAATTATGAAAGAGGAGCAAGCCCGGTTTCGCTACCGTCAAATCCGAAAGTCAAGAGCGTGCATTGATAAGTCTGCTTTTGTCAGAAAAAAAAAGCTTACTCAACAAGAAAGAAACCTTGCAGGATGGATGAGCGGATGCTATCTACGGTGCCGGATGCTAGCAAGGCCGATGTCATGTTGCTCAGGGCGTCATTTGAATTTGACAAAAATGATACGTCTGGCACGACACGCTAGGCACCGTTCAGACCGTGTCAGTACCCGCTCGCTTCCGTCCGCACCCGCCTGAATCCGTTCGAAGACTGAATCCGTCCAAACCCGCCTGAACCCGCCGGAACCAAAATAGTGAGCAAATGGAAGTATGTACCGCCGAGTTACTTGTGACTAGTATGTACACAACGCGCGCGGTTCACGCGTGCTCCGATTTGCTAATTTCCAGGCATATCTCCTTTGCTTCCCTTATTTGGGAGGTGGTGTCCTGGCGGGTTGGACGGGTTCAGGCAGGTTTGGACGGGTTCAAGCGGATTTAGACGGGCTTCGGCGGATTTGGTCGGGTAGCCTTGTCGTCCATCCATCTGTGATCTTGTTGATTCGCTCAAGATCCTATCACCTCTACTAGCCATCTCCTCGTCTATGACCTCTACATCAGAAGACCATCGGCATCATCAGCTGTTACCTTTCAACAGCAGCAGCTGACTCAGAACTAGATGCTTTCTACGAAGACGTAGAGGAAGTCGTCCGCAACGAGAAGTCGTTCTACAAGTTCGTTGTGAGAGACAACCGAAGATTGGAATGCGAACTACAAGAAGAATATAGGGACTGGGAGTTTAGATTTGGGCTTCGGAACGATGACCGCTACCGTCTTGTTGGGCCTCTCTCTACCGCACGATTTTTCCGTGGAAATTCATTTACATTAAGATAGAACAATGCCGGTGGACATGCGAATTGCCCAACAAAACGACTTACGAAAGGGTAGGCCACCACCCCAACCGAACTGTCTTGCTCGATATCTCAGTGGTTCCATCCTTCTGCAGTGGCTCCAATCACCGCCTCCTTTGAGCGATCAAGTTGAAAGCTGGAAAAGAAGGTTTGCCACAATGGCGCAAGAAAGAGAGAAGTCGTTTATGATGACAATAGGCTGGAAGAGCTCATATCAAATCATTGAAAGACCCAACGTACAACCACGACCGGCTTATAGAAGGATTGCGAGCCTTCAGTAAGTGTCTTAATCAGGGTAAAGCGGGGGGTGCGGCACGCCGCAGGGGGGGGGGTCGTTAGGGGGTGGGGGTTAGGTAGGGGGGGGGGGGGTCGTATCGACCCAAGGTCAAAAGCACTTGTACAAGCTGTGTGACTAAACTGACTTGATGAAAGCGCTGTTGGAATCCTGCAAAATTCAAGTTCAACGACACAAACCTGAAGATACCGTATGCCCACCGTAACCTACCGTACCTCTAATCAAGCATAGTTGTCGTAATCCGCGTGTCGAATAACCCCTATGCGCCAAGTTTCAGCGAACTCTGAGGTCTCCGAGCAGTAAACAACCTTGTATAAAGCAGTAATTTAAAACATGATTAACTTCATTATAACGGTGAGTAAGCTACCTCTTCTTGCACTCAATACAAAGCACTACTTCTTCTTTGTTCACCTCAGGAATCCCGCTTCAGAAGACCTCCAAACTATTGAATTAGAAGCCAACCAAAATCTCGTTTTTCCCATTTTTCGCTTTTGATCGCTGTGCTTTCACCAAATATTACTCAGAGCTAAGAAGACGAATCAGGCTCAAAACATCCCTATGGAATCTACGAGGTTTAGGCTATTGATTTATATAAATATTGTCCGCTAAAAATGTTTTTTTGATATAGTTAATGGCCTGCGGCACCCCCCCTCAAAACATGCGGCTGCCGCAGGTTTTGAGGGGGGGTGCCGCAGGCCATTAACAATACACACCGCAACAATGATTTCTGGGAAGGCTCAGAACGCATCTAGACCACTGAGGAATTTCTCGGAAGCAAGAAGAGCTTTGAGGCGGACCTGAATGAACCCAAAACGAGCGAATGATAGCGAACACCCGTTGTAGAACAGCTTTACAGGATGATCTCCGGAAGTAAGGCAAGGCAAGGTACCAGATGCACCAGGGAAAACGAAGGCTTAAGAATGCAGGTTTCTATGAATATCGCAAATGGCTGGCGGCATTGAATGAAGATGGGACCCCGACTTTTTTCCGGCATAAGATGGAAACCATCCCAAAGGACTCTTATACCAACCTTCTTCGATCGCCATCCGATTCCCATTGTTCCCTGGGAGGAGTACCAACACAGAATTAACCTGCTGAAGTGCGCACCGCGATTCAGGCCGTGAAGACGTCCACGGCTCCAGTATCATCATCTTTTCGTCGAACCTTTGCAACCAGAAGCACTACTTTATTTATTTATATATACACTCATGGTGTACCAATAAGAAGACAGAAATAGAACAAAAAATCTGGGCACAAAAGAAAAGACAAAAGACCAACCAATCCTCAGTCACAGAAGGAAGTAGAGTTATGCAAAAAAGAACGCAAGACAGATACCGAAGCCCCTGCCATACTGAAGATAGACATTAGCTTATAGAGACCAGCAAAGCGAAGGAAAAAGTGCTTTGTCCAATTTCCTAGAATCTTGCTTTCTCTAAAAATTTATTAAGACCCTATTTTTGGGCGTCAGCGAGCCCCCCGGTAAAAGCTAGCTGACTTGACCCGAGGAACACGTGCTACAGGCGAGAGCAAGATTCGAAAGGAAAGTGGTAGAAATAAACATGAGCGATTGAATTATGAGCGATTGATATCTGACCAAGATGGGGGGACTGGGTTACGTTGAATGAATAGTATCAACTCGAACAGATGAAAGAAGCTGGTTGATCTAATCAGCATACGTCTACAAGCTTGTTACTAACATCACAAAACAACAGAAAATTATCTAGTAAAATCAGTCTCATTGATATCAAGAACACTCGGCGCGACTGCAGCGAAGTGCAAAACAGTAAAAGTGTGAAGGAGTCTCCTGTAAAAAGGAACAACAGCACAAGAAGTCTCCGTAATCAACAAGAATCATTCACTTGCATGAGATCGACACTCCTAAGGCTACGCTTAAAAGAAGATACGTTTTGAGCAGAGAGCACATGAGGAGGTAATCGGTCAAGCCACCTGGACGTTCTATAAAAGAAACTATTAAAAATACGCAAAAAACGCTTTCTGTTGATACGAGGATAATGAATGTTGAACATACCCGCTCTAGCAGTAGGTCTAAATATCCAATACTTACTTGCATTCAGCCTGAGTTCTTCCCGCAAGAGTCGAAATGCAAAAACAAGATCGTGATACATACGTCTGTGTTCTA